TTATTTATAGGTGTAGGTTCAAAATGAGTATTTTTTTCGGTGTTATGTTGTTATTTTTTTTGTGTTAGTCGACTTTGAATACAGTGATAGATATTATGACATTAAGGACTTTGTAATGTCATGTCATCAACCACCTATAAAGGGTATCAAATCCGAAGTCCACAATCGGAGCCTTTTACCCAGCTGTCCTGTAGTGGGCGACGTTTAATTTATTATATTGTTTCCCTCGTCCGGCTATTACTGAACGAAGTCCACAGTTGGACATGAGCCTCCCCCTATTGGAGGATTTTGTTGCGATGTGTTGTATTTTAGAGCAAACGCTACTGACTCAGTCGCCTTTTACGATGACACGCACGACTAGAAACGGCTAAAAATCGAGAAATATCGATATCTGAGAACAGGTTTCATAGGACGATTGAACGATTACGAGACCCACACAAAGAGATAGAGAAAGGCATCGAGGAAGTCAGAGAGATAGTGAGAGAGAACGAGAGAGAGAGAGAGACAGAGAGCGACGGCTAATCTTCCAACTTTATCTTTTCTATGATCTATAAAAGGTCTTAGGGTATCATATCCAAAGTCCACAATCGGAGCCTACAGCCCAGCTGTCCTGTAGTGGGCGACGTTTAATTTATTATATTGTTTTGCTACCGTCCCTCGTCCGGCTATTATTGAACAAGGCCGAGAATTGTAATTTATTGTGTAGCCGGTCGGTTGATTGAATTGCCGAGCAATAAAATCAATAGGACAGATTTTTTCGGAGAGCAAGACGTAAAATGGTATTGACGGTGTGTGTGAGAGGGACGAAGAACTAATCAGAGAGATAGCAACTAATAGTTTCAGGCGTTATTAGAATCAGGTGAGATATGTGAAAAGTAATTACAGTGTGGCATTTATCGTTTGTCATTTATATTTTACTAATAGATTAATATCTTAAAACTAACGTCAAGATACGAATTAGGTATGCATAACATCACCAGTTTAGTACTTTTTAAAACACTGCTATGTAACTTCAAAAAACCACACTTTTGTCCAATTCCAAACACAATCTACCTTAGACTTACAAGAAATTTTCTAAAGGCAGCAACAAAAACTATGAATTATGAAACCTGTCTAATTGCTGTCTAAACAATAAGAAGTAGGTTTATCGCATAATTCGGCTGTAAATTTCCGAATTATTGGATATAGTTCATATACTGTGCATGTGTAAGTTGACATATTTCATACAATCTCTGTATACCTACTAAAGGTACACATGTAAAGATCATACCCCGAAAGAATTAGAAACTAAATCGGTTTAAAAGAAATCAAAGAAAGTAAATCCAGTGACGAAGTAAATAAAAAGAAAACTCTTCACAAGAATATAGAGGTAAAATATCTGTAAAACTTTTAATCACTTTACAACGACGATAAACTAAATAATTGCGATATCACAATCTTAGTGGTATAACGGGGTCTTTCTAAGGGACAATCTCCACAAAATAGACATGCGACGCGAAGCGCTAAATGCCATCTATCAGACCAACGATTGTCAGCCATTATCGATGGATACGACGTGCGTCTCACGTGTATGAGGTTTGTCTCTTCTGTGTGATACATTTTATATGAAGAAAGGTTTTAAGCGTCACGATGTCTCAAGCCTCACGTCTACGACAATCACTTGTTTGACAGGTGCCGTCCTATGTCTCACGTCTCCTCTATGGAGCTTGCGCCTAAGGTAAAAAGTAATCAATAGGCAAATTTTGCCGTTTGATGCCGGCTTAGAATGTCATCACCCCATATCTTTCCTGTGGGTGTCGTAAGAGGCAACTAAGGGATAAAATTCATCCAGGGGTTCAATCCCTAGATGAATTTCGCAATCGCATTTTAACATCTAGCATTGCCTGCCTGCCAAGCGTGGTGAGTATGGTAAATTCCCCCCCGACTGGCGGGGGGGAATTTATCTAACTTGTCCACATCACGTCTACAGGCCAGGGACGTAATTAAAAAAATAACTGACTATTCTTCTCCTACTTTTTTAAATTTTGGCTTTTGCTTTTCTTCTCTATTACCATTACCACATCAAACACTCATAGATGCGTAACCACAAAGAAGAATAAAACAAAAACTTCCTTATCTCACTACTGCTGAAAATTGGCTGAATGGATGACAATTTTAAAATTCCAATTTTCCAAGTCAACTCACGCTTGTCCATCCGTTTCCGCAGTAGTGGCTCGTAATTACTCTTGGTCTATGGGATAAGCGAAGGGTGTTTTTTTAAATAGAAAGACCTTATTTTTTAAAGTCTTGTCCAAAGGTTGTCCATTGCCATACAGCGTGGTAACGCTAGTAGTGTAATGGGCACCATTGGACCGGGGACGAGCTGGGGCGGAATTTTTAGTTAAGTTTTTGTATATTATTTGACTGTTATTTTTTATAATAAAGAGACTCCAATATTTATTTTATTTATTTATTAAAAACATGTCATGATGTACACACATATATCACGCCTATATCTCTTGCATGGTAGGCAGAGCGTAAAAGGCCATTTACACCACAACTGACAAAAATTTGAGAGACATTCAGAAGAATGTGTATCATACAAATAAAACTCTCAAATTATTTAGTCGCTTCTTACGACACCCACGAGAAAGATATGTGGTGAATCACCACGCTGGTGTTGCTATTTTAAGCCGGCACGATACGGTTGTTTTTGGATATCATCCTAGAAATCGTTTTGTAGCAGTTGCGTAGCAAAATGCTACGAACTTGTGAACTTACGATACGACATCTGTTTCCTTTTAATCTACTTCATTGCCCCGTTTATCACAACCGTTATTAGTTTTATTTATGTGTCAAAATAGCCCTGCGATGATTGTAAAAGTTACCATTCTACTACGTGAATGAAGATAAATTTCAACTTTAATTATTTAGCCAGTTGCAAGCCAGTTGGTTGATATCAATAAATATGGCCGTCACCAAAACCCTTAACAGTCTTCCCTCTTGTCACTTGAACCGTCAGTGACATAGTCAAAAGCCTGCATCCTTCCATTGTCGTCCTGGTCCGGTAATAACCGGTTATAATTACTCAGACCAAAAGCACGCCCCGAAACGGTTAACGGGCGAAGTGGCAGTTTCAGAGAAGAGATACTTTCAGACAGACTTTGTGCTTCATGTCATGTAGATCTCGTTAAGGGCTACAACTTTCCCAAAGAAACCAATAGTCTAGCACGCATAGTTTCCGATATAAACGACTTTTTAGTATGACAGCTGACACCTGTCATGTAGATCTCGTTAAGGCCTACAACTTTTCCAAAGAAACTAGTTGTGTAGCGTGCATAGTTAATGAGATAAACGAGTTTAAAGTTTGACAGCTGACACCTGTCATGTCGATCTCGTTAAGGCCTACAACTTTCCCAAAGAAACCAATAGCCTATCACGCATAGTTTCCGATATAAACGACTTTTTAGTATGACAACTGACACCTGTCATGTAGATCTCGTTAAGGCCTACAACTTTTCCAAAGAAACCAATAGTCTAGCACGCATAGTTTCCGATATAAACGACTTTTTAGTATGACAGCTGACACCTGTCATGTAGATCTCGTTAAGCCCTACAACTTTTCCAAAGAAACTAGTAGTGTAGCGTGCATAGTTAATGAGATAAACGAGTTTAAAGTTTGACAGCTGACACCTGTCATGTAGATCTCGTAAGGCCTACAACTTTCCCAAAGAAACCAATAGTCTAGCACGCATAGTTTCCGATATAAACGACTTTTTAGTATGACAGCTGACACCTGTCATGTAGATCTCGTTAAAGCCTACAACTTTCCCAAAGAAACCAATAGTTTGACAGCTGTCACATTAAATGTAGGTCTCGTCAAGACCTACAACTCCTTCAAAGAAACTTGAATGCGCACTGAGACATATTTGAGAAGGTGGATGCACAGACCAAATGACTACTCAATGGAACTACTGCGAATGATCGTAAACGAAGCTTCGCAGTAAAAGTTCGAAAAAACGTTCGCAGTAGTTCCATGGAACTAATCTCAATGGAACTACTGCGTGCGTCCCATCCGACCGTCTTCCGTGACCGTGTTCTAACTAAAGTTTCATTCAAACTTCACAAAACATTTGTTTGTCTTCACGTCCCTACTTCAAAACCTACTTGAAGTAAATTAAATTGCCATATATTTACGTATCGGAATTTTTAATGCACTCACAGCGCAATATTATTCTATTAAATTAAATAATGAAAAATTTAAAAATTTACTAGCGACCGCCGGCACTTGAACCCGGGACTATGGATCACCGTTCCATGCTCTACCGATTGAGCTACGGGCGCCTAGCGGACCCTGGTGAATCTTTCAACCTCTTGATGCTCGTCTCGAAGCAAAGATCCAGCGACATCTGTAGAAAGTATTTAGAACTTTACTACATGGTTAGTCCACATCATCACTTCGAGACGAGCATCAAGAGGTTGAAAGATTGCTGCCTACCCTGTAAGGGATATAGACGTAATATAATGTATGTATGTAATAACAAAAATCTCCTAAAAACAGACAGGATTCAAACCAACAACCTCGCATAAAAAACCAGATGTTCCCAGATTTCACAGAATAGGCAAGAAACGAGTAGGTAGACAAAAAGGGTGGTCTGAGGGCGAAATTACATTTGCGTTGACACTGAGGATAAATGCCAGCTTGGTATAGTTGCCACAGAGTGTTTTGGCTTTTGAATAAAAAAAATACTACCTATACCTAAAAATTTGGAAAACGGCTCGCGGGGCGTCTTTACAGATGGCTTACTCAGTACTATAGCATCAATTTTGAGCAATATATTGGAATTTTTAATGCACTCACAGCGCAATATTATTCTCATAAATTGAAAATGAGAGAATTGAAAAATTCACTAGCGACCGATTCACTAGTTAAGTTCTAAATTATACTTTCTACAGATGTCGCTGGATCGTCGCTTCGAGACGAGCATCAAGAGGTTGAAAAGTTCACCAGGGTCCGCTAAGCGCCCGTAGCTCAGTCGGTAGAGCGGTGGAACGGTGATCCACAGTCCCGGGTTCAAGCCACGGCGGCCGCTAGTGAATTTTTAAATTTTCTCATTTTCAATTTATGAATTTTGAGCAAATTTTGAATGAATTGGAATTTTAGAGAAACTCAAGGTGACTAAAGAAGATGGTTGCTACGTCATTTCTTACATTCAAATCAGCTGAGAATTATATTACGTTCTGGTATCATATTTAGAGGTATATTTCGTCCTCACATTGAATCTAGCAACCCTGGCTATGTAGCAAGTGACAAACGTGATCCTTCTGTACAATCTCTATTTTATGCTTAGCAAAATAATTTGGTTCGCCGATCAGCTAACTGATTTAACATAAGGGGGTCAAGGTACCTCATACTCATCATAGATTTTTCTTTTTCATTTTTGATGAGTACCCTGACCTTATTTTTGCTAGTTAAGGTGGATGGTTTTCCATACAAAAGTTAAATGGAGTTACGTCTTTACATGAGACAAAAATATGATTAAAAAACTTGATGGAAAGTCCCGTGCTTCTATAACGTTTTCGCAAAATAAAACAAATAATTTTTTAACCATCAGATTTCTCTGTAAAAACTGTTTCGCCACTTTATGAACATAGATGGAGCTACTGCTGCAATAAACACGTTTATTTTTTTTGTGGAGAAAGTACTCAATATTTTTTGTACCTACCATAAGCAGTTTTGCGACAAATTTACGTGTGCCTTCATCATTTTACATAAAAAAAATTATAAAATTGTTGTTTAGCTCATGTTTAACTCGGTTGAAGTTCAGATTTTCGTTTGTATGACGTGACGATGCGCCTTAAACACTTCTTGTTACTCCCGGTAACTATATGACAGCATATTGAATAATAACTTGCAAGCCAATTCAATGTGGACTGACTGTAATAAAACTACGTGTTGGATGTTCTTGCCAAAAAGAGATTTAGACTCACCGTGTTGTATTAGTTTAATAGTAAGTATATTTCGTACACCGCCTCGGAACCTGGAAAGATTTAATCATATTTTTAGGATTTAGACACTAGGTAAGTCCTTTGAATGTACTGCCGTTTAACTGCTGTGTAGTGCTGGCTTAGAATAGCATCACAGTCTTCTGATGTATAGTGTAAGCAAGCTATAGAGTGCGCATATCGCCTCGCACCGTACTGTCAAAGCGTAAGCAGATGCGAGTAACTTTTTAGACACTCTCTTTTTAGCTTGCTTATTTATTATAGTCTATGCTTATAACCTTTGCTAAGATATAAGTGAATAATTATATAGCAAATACTTACAATACGATACGATACAATGGACTTTGTGACTGTTGATTTGTAATGTTATTTCGATTGATGTTATTTCGGGAACCGAAATGAAAGCCTCTTACATCTTTACGAAGAATATCTACATGACCACCCCTCCTAAGTCATTAACAGGACAAAAGAACAATATAAGGACAACATTACCGACAGATAGCTCTGATTGTTCCCGGAATAGACACAAAATGGTGTGCCAAGATCAGTTTCACTTGTTCCATTTTGTCACATACTGCTGAATAGAATGTACACACACACACACAAACACACATGAGGTTCATTTCAGAAGAAAGTTATGTGCCTATCACCTTTTTAGTAATGGGTCGTCAGCTTATTGCTTAAAGGTCATTATCATCTTCCTGCCCTTAGCCCAATTACTTGGGGTCGGCGCAACACGTTTTGTTGAACACAAAATCGTGTTGCAAAAGATTTGGCTTAATTTTACGACCCGCGGCCTACCAGACGTCAACCCTCCTTGGGAATGCTTTTGTGGTGGATTATCCGCCACCATTCGGTTGGCCCTGGCTGTTTGGGTCGCTTCTTACTACCCCCACGGGAAGAGAGGGAGTTGTGCTATTCAACTCTGCCGGCACCACACGGCTGCTTATTGCTTAAAGGTAATACAAGATAAACCCTGGTGTCCATTACGTGGGCTGGAGGTACGTACATAATACAGTAGACATTGTTTTTGATTACTTAGACAGCGGTCGGTACTCCGTTCGGACCGTACCTAGTAGGTGCCTGATAATGTCAGGTCAGTAGCCTGTCCTTATCCCAAATCGGTTAGGTTTGAAGCAACATGTTTTGTTAGAGCAAAAGGAAATAAAAATTAAAAATCATGTAGCAAAAGGAAATAAAAATAACTGTTTAAATTAATAATTCTTTGAAATGTTACGTAAGATGACGTGTTTGAAAAAATATGAGAGGCAAACTCTTTCTGATTTTGGAGATAATGGCACCTATGTCGACGATCTATTTCAGAAACTACAAACTTTTATCATTTCGTCAAGTCTATCACCCGTTTAAAAACCTGTGTATTTCAATATTCTAAACTAATTATCTTTTATTGGCTTGGCTCGTTAAAATGACACTTTTGGGGCTGCCATACAAATATTTGTAGATGTTGACCGGTGCTAGTAGCTATAATACATAATTACAAAAAGATTCATCAGTATATTTTAATTTTTTCGGAGATTATCGCTAACGAACAAACTTCTTGAGAATTCGACAAAAGATGTCGTTGCAGGTTTGTAAAACGCGCTATCCTTTTGTTTTTTGCGACTATAAAGTGTTGCCTTACAGTGACTTTTAACAGTTTTATTATGTGTAAGTCTACCGGGAATAACAGAAAGGGTATAACAAGCCAAAAAGAGGTCAAGGTACTCATGAAACTGAACAAAGTTCCCCATGTAACATGGGTCGAAATATGAAAAAAAAATTTTGGAGCGCCCATATAAAATCGCCGATCAGCTAATTGATTTATATATTTTTTTCATATTTCGGCCCATGTATTTCCATAGGGAAAGTTGTTCAGTTTCATGAGTACCTTGACCTCCTTTCGGCTTGTTATACCCTTTCTGTTACTCCTGGTATAGGTATAGAATAGATAAATTGAATACAAATTATCTATCATTGTCTTTACAAGGTAAAGGCAGGTTTTTCGACCCCATAGCATCGCTTAAATGACACTTGTAGAGTTGTACCTAGTAGCGTGGGAATATAAACAACTGGCTAATTCAACGTAAATTCCAACGTTTAAACGTTTGCATTATAAATCAGTCCTTTGGTGCGCTAATTATTGCTCCGAATCGAAATCAATGTAAAATGACAACATGACAACACAAACAAAGTACTACGTGCTTTTTTACTATGGAAAAATTATGGGAAGAAATTTGCTAATTTGAAAACTACTTTTTTTCATATTACGACATAATGTTTCTCAGGGAAAGTTGTTCAGTTTTATGGACTGGTTTACCCCTTAAAATATTTGTAGTTTTTTTTTAGCATTTTATATTATCTTTTTTAGATTTTAAAAAGCTCCTTCATCAGCCTAACCTAACCTATGACTTCTAGAAAAAAAGGAATAGTTAAGATCTTCATACACACAATGAAAACTTCTACAGCTTGAGGATGGAAACTATGAAAAACTTTTGCAAGGACAGAATTAGGCAGTTGCTATTCTAAGCAGGCATCACACGGCTCTGATTGTTGAACACCCTGTATTTAAATAAAGAGTTGGGAGCCAAAAAGCAAGTCAACACACAGACCAATTAGGGCCCAAGAATTAATTAAAGTAAAGCTCTTAAGTTAAATTAAGATTCCTTATTGTTCACGTTGAGATATAACACTGCTTTGCATTTTCATTACCACTTTAAAGACACACAGCCTGATGTAGTCAGGAAAGAAAGAGTAGGTATGATTTAGTCAGACTAATATTTTTGATAAGTTTGGGGTCCTATCGATAAGAAACATAGGTCGAAACATAAATATATTTTTTGACTCTCTATACAAAATGAGTTGACCAGCCGGGTTTGTATGGAAAGGCCAAAATAATTTTAAACTTTCGACCTGTGTTTCTTGAGGCGTTCCGTTTTCCATACAAAAGTTCAATGGAGTTATGTATGTAAAGGAGACAAGAGTCGGTTTAAAAAACTTGATGGGGAGTCCCGTGGGTATATAAGATTGTCGCAAAACACTAAAAAGAATTTTTAAATCATCAGATTTCCCCGTAAAAAGCGAGTCGCCACTTTACGAAAATAGATAGAGCTACTGCTGCAATAAATACGTTTAATTTTATTGTGCAGAAAATACTGATTATCTTTTAACTATAAGTAGTTTTGCGACAAATTTAGTGTGCCTTCATCATTCAGAATAAAGTTTCTTTAAAAAGAAACTCTACAGCTCATGTGTAACCCGACTGAAGTGCAGTTTTTCGTTTGTATGACGTAACGAACCACCTTAAGGAAAGTTATTCAGTTTCATGGAATGGTTTAACTCTTCAAAAATACTATGGTAAAGCTTGATACGTATGTCTTTTCAAAATATCTAGTATTATTTGCCCATCTTGGGCTTTTTCAAAGCAAGAGTGAATAGGAACTACCTAGGCAAGCATGCTCCAACATCATCTGCATCATCAATTCATCACTTACCAACAGGTGAGTGAGATGAAAAAAAATAAAAAATGAAAAATATTTATTTTCTTCAACATAAGTTTAAATTGGTAGCAGGTAGGTGTGTGTGTGAGAGAGAGAGAGATAGCAGACAAATACGGGCGAATCTTATAAAAAAGTATTCTGTCCTACAACAACACACCATCTTTGGAACGTCAACCATCGTCAGACTGTGTGTATCGCCATTTATTTTCGTCTTGTTTATTTTTAAGATGAATTTCTGACATTTTATAGGCAATTACCGTGATATTTGCGGTATCTCCCATTCAAGCCTGCCATTCATGAATATTGGTTTAATCATTTGCGAAAACAAAAGGGAGGTTTTTAATTACAGACGAGCAGCTTGGCAAGGTTTTGTCAGACGAATTACGATTCTGATTGATGAATATTTCTAATTTTCTTCTTTTCGAGTGGGACACTAAGTCGTCTTACAACCTGATGAACCCTTGGGTCAGACTTCTTCCAATTTTTACTTATGAATCTGTAATTAATGTTTACTGAATTTATACTTTTCACCATTTGACATGTCTAAATTGCAAGCTAATGGAAAACTGTAAATGTTCCTAAATATTAGG